CAACAACAACAACAACAACAACAACAACAACAACAACAACAACAACACAAAAACGAGAACACACATACCGAACTTGAGGCGGAACATCTGCCAGCTGGTGATGGCAAGCATACACCCGCGGCTTGCCCATGCCTGCGTCTTGAGATGAATCTCTTGAAGGAAACATCATCAGGATCCTTTTCTTAGCATACATTTTGGATGGCAAAGGTCATTCTTCTATGATATGCCTCCAGTTCGGAGGAACCATGGAATACATCCAAAAGGGCTATCATGGACTACTAAATGTCACAGGCAAATGATGCCATTCGCAAGGGCCCAAACTCATCCATTTTGGCTAAAAGAGGTCGTTACTTCTTTATAGCACCAGTCCTTCTCCGGTGTTGGTGAGAACTGAGATCCATGTCCCTACATGAATTCTCCCAGAAATTATTATCAAGTTGGAATGCCGACCCAAAATCGACCTACTCGACCCTGAGAAACGATGTCCCCCCTCTGAGCCTGAAGGGCGTGGCCAAAATCATCATCCGAACCACCACGCTGCACCGTCCATCGGTGGACTCCGGCGTGGTCGAACAGCATGAGGAAGACGTCCGCGCTGCTGATACCCGCATTGGTGTAGCCATCCAGGGAGCTTTTTGTCCAGCCGGCCACCCAAGAGTTTCCGGAGGCGTCCACCTGCACACACTGGGGGAAAGGTCAACAAATGCATAGACAAATAAAGTTGGCAATTAAGTTGGCAGGAAGGCTCTAAGCTGAGCACTCACAACTGCAGTAATTACAAACCCAAACAAGAACCCTATGTCATGATATGTCATTGTTGAACTGACATGAATGAACCAAAATATATATGTCAAAATGGCATGCCAACACGAACGGGAGTTATATAACCATAAAATAACTACATCTAAAAGCTGACAAAACACATGTGGAACTCACAAGTTCTTCCTAGAACTTGAAACTGGAGGTTCCAGAAACAAAGCAATGCACCACATCACCGAAACCACCAATTACTTTCAGTAAAACCTGGCCACCGAACTCCTCGGATCGGAGCCTGAAGAGCCCTGGCTTCATCACGGTCAGAGCCGCCACGCTGCACCGTCCATTGGTGGACTCCAGTGGTGTCGAACTTCATGAGGAACACGTCGGATTCTCCCGCATTGGTGTGGCCATCCAGGGAGCTCGTCGTGTAGCCGGCCACCCAGGAGTTTCCGGAGGCATCCACCTGCGCAAGGCCCACCATCGGGTATTATCAATGTGTAAGAATTCATGGGAGAACAGAATGAAACTGCTACCCGGTTTCAGCCACTTTCAAGAAAAAGTTATCAGAAAACATAAGCTGAGACCACAAGCAAAGAGTTCCTTTGGCAGCAATGGCTGTATTGGTGGGCATGGAAAAGGGATAACTAACAGCTAACACACCAGCAAGTTCTTCGGCATAGGATAGAATCGAACCTAAAGCCCGTAACTCTGCCCGTATACATTGAACTTCCGCATATAACGGATCCGAAATGGTCGTCCACGAGGAGAAAGAGCCTCCCCCCCAGAGCCTCAAGGGCCCGGGCCATATCTTCCCCAAAGCCGCCATGCTGCACCGTCCATTGGTGGACTCCGGCGTGGTCGAACTTCATGAGGAAAACGTCCGCGCTGCTGATACCCGCATTGGTGTGGCCATCCAGGGAGCTGAATGTGTCGCCGGCCACCCAGGCGTTTCCGGAGGCGTCCACCTGCGCAAGGTCCACCATGCACGCAATCAATTGATAAACTGGTACCTCATGGCCTAAAAATATCTAAACATACTGTCCAAAATTATGGAAGGAAGTGCAATCCGTCAAAACAACAATCACAAAATCCTTGGCTGGCGGCGTTTGAAGCAGGTTTGCGCTCTTGCAGCTGCATATGAACCATTTTGGATTGGTGGATATGAGATCGAGGGGGTCAGTTTTCACCTGCAAACATTGGTTGTACAAACAAGAATTGAGGCATATCAAGGCAACCTTTGGTTGACATTGGCAACTTGGAACTCTATACCAGTGCCGGGAAAAACACAATTTCAACACATACTTAGCAAATATTTGCTCAAGCTCTTCGAGGGCCTCGGGCCTCAAGCCCGATCATTCTGAAATTACGGGACATGAACATCACGGACCGAAGGGTATATTATATAGTATACCCAAGATTACCCAAGTCCATATCAAAAGTAATTATCACTCACAATCCGTCTTCAAATCGGTGGACATGATCCACACATGAAACAGTCAAGTCCTTCCCGGTCATAAAGACATCCCACCAACTGAAGTTGTCCAAAACAATGGCTATACAGTAATGTTTAACAGAATAAACATAAGGAAGCCAGGCTTGAACAACATCCGCCAACGTCCCCCTCAGAGCCTGAAGGGCATTGCACTCATCAGTATGAGAGCCGCCACGCCGCACTGTCCATTGGTGGACTCCGGCGTGGTCGAACTTCATGAGGAAGACGTCCGACGCTCCCGCACTGATGTGGCCATCCAGGGAGGGGCTCCATGTCTGGCCGGCCACCCAGGCGTTTCCGGAGGCATCCACCTGTGAACGACAGGACATGAACAGGGACCGAGCCCCGAATATTGAAATCGATACAGAAAATTAGATATAGAATTGTTCTTGAGCATTTACATGAACATTTGAACGCATGGCGCGTATTGGAAAAATGCTAGAAAGAACGTGTAGTATTTTGCTGATGGCAATGGAACCATGGAGACGATATTTATTGAGTGCATACAGTGATGGACCTTGCACCTGCAGCAAGGATTGCCCAAACAAGGCAATAAAAACAGAAATGGCATGACATTGGCAGGGAAAGCTTAGAACTCAACGCCTGCCAGAGTTATCAAGCAGTGCCACGGGAACCAGTTTTTAGGATGTTGCCTTAGAATTAAAGGACGTTCAGGGCCTTGGACCTAAAACTGTTGAAGGCCTTTCAGGTCTTCCATCTGATCACGAAGGACTTAAGGCACACGAAGACCACAAACAAAAAAGGAAACCCAAGTACGCAAGATTAGGCAAGTATACGGCATATCTATATAACGCATTTCCAAGCAACCAATTTAAAGCGAAAACATACACCAACATCGACCAACGTCCCCCCCTCTGAGCCTGAAGGGCGTTGCCGACATCAAGATCCGAACCACCACGCTGCACCGTCCATTGGTGGACTCCGGCGTGGTCGAACTGCATGAGGAAGACGTCGGAGAATCCCGCAGTGTTGTGGCCATCCAGGGAGCGGCTTTTTGTCCAGCCGGCCACCCAAGAGTTTCCGGAGGCGTCCACCTGCACACACTGGGGCAAAGGTCAACAAAAGCACACACAAATAAGTTGGCAATTAAGTTGGCAGGAAGGCTCTAAGCTGAGCACTCACAACTGCAGTAATTACAAACCCAAACAAGAACCCTATGTCATGATATGTAATTGTTGAACTGACATGAATGAACCAAAATATATATGTCGAAATGGCATGCCAACACGAACGGGAGTTATATATCTAAACAAGATGGAGCCCACGAACCCGAATGCAAACACATACGTCAAACCACTGCGTATAAAAAGAGACACAGCCGGTCAGAATCTCTTTTTCACTCTCTGGCACGCTGTTGGACATCATGCGCTGGGGACTCCACCACCAAGGCAGCATGCGCTGGGGACTTCACCACCAAGCTCCGTCTTCATCATGAAGGGTCTTTGTTTTGCATTCAAATCAAGCACTGGCGTAAAGGTTCTGGCAGATCCGCGGCACGAAAGAAACAATGGCATTGTCCCAAAATCTCGAAAATAAGCACTTGAAAATGATAACCGTCCACATAATACAGAGAAATCCACAACTGCGGCGTCTGATCTTCTTGTAAATAGGAGTGTAAGACCGTGCGTTGTTGTGGTTCGCCTGCATCGACAAGAAGTATATGAGACACACACAACGGAAGTGAAGAAAACTATCCTATAGGTTATGTCATTAGTCCAACATTCGTATGGATTTATCGCACACGCGTTTGTTAGATGTGTCACCGGAGCCTCGAACAACAGACGTCTGGGTCCAAGTATTTCCAGCAATGATGAAGCCAAGATTGAGCTCCGTGGCCAACGCAACAAAGTCGACGGCCGTTGCCCAATGAGTATTCCCACAAGCTTCGAGAGCAGTGCTCACGGCATCCTGCAAAGACACCAGGGCCGCAGTGCCAGAACGCACTCTCTTGCTCCTCGTCACGGAGCTGTCGCCCGCTTTGTAGCGAACTAGCATGGCGTCGTCTACAACTTCTGCTCCGAGGACATCGTTGGCGTCTTTCAAGAAAGCAAAAGGAGAGCCACGCAAGAGTGCGATCATGGACCAGTCGTCCAGCCATGTCCTCGCAGCTTCGCGCACCAAACACCCGACGACGAAGTTCAAGAATGCTTTTGGCGTCTTGGCGCGCATGTGTTGCCCGACAATCTTGCGGAGAGCAGCCGCAACCGTAGTTCGGTCGTCCCAGTCAGCCACCTCATCGGAAGTGAAAAGATTCAAGAGTCGTGGGTGGACTGCTCGCGCCTGCATCAGGACGACCGCAGTGGACAAGAAGAAGCAATCGCCGCCTCCACCAGCTTTGGCGGCAAAGACACGCAGAGCCCCGTGTTCTCGGAAAAATTGTGCCGTGGGAGCGGCCACCTCTTCCAGCACAAGAGACGAGATGTCGCAGAAATCCGTTCGCAGCTGACGCCACTTGGTGGGGTCGTACTTCCTTTTGGTTCCCCTGAACTCAGTCACTACACTCGCCCTCGTAGCCGCCGTCCAAGCCCCTGGGACGTACTGAAAGCGACCCTCTGGTGTTCTGCGGGTCGGTCGCGGTAGGTGTTCCGCGGCTGGAAAACCAGGCAGATGTCTGCGAGCTTCTTCGATTGCGGAGCGAGACAAAAGCGCAACCTCCTGCAAACAATGATACAAGATCGACACACGCGCGGTTGCGGATGGTATGACTCGTGGCTATTTCATATGTGATCACTCGAGCAGTGTGAATCAGTCCGTGGATATCCAACATAGCACATTAAACAAGCCAACAAGCACATCAGAGTCCTCCAGTCGATCCAAAAACTCGGCAATATACGCAGGTGGACCAGTCTCAAAGATTGAAAAATCAATATCGCCTTCTGGCGTCTCCGGTAAATTGCGAAATAAGGAATACTCGAGAGCTTGAGCGCGTCCAAGAATCATGTACAAGTGCTGCGTATAATCGTCTGCCGAAAAATAATCTGGTTTCGAAAAATCAATCGTGTGCCCAACTCCTTTGATGGTCTTGCCTTGGGCATTGTTGTAGGTTCCAGCAGCCAGCGGAGCAAGAGGATACTGTATCCGAGTAACATCCAACATCAAGGCTCCTTTGCGATGCAATTGCACGCGGAAGAATCTTCACTCGGTTCTAAATGCCACACTCCAGGCAGAAGCTGTCCAGTATAATCTTCTTGCTGATCCTGTTGCAAGTCAGGTGTGACTCAGAGATACATGGGTCCTACAGAAGGTTAGATTAAACTGTCTAAAAACCGATGTTCACAAACTATGCAGGACACTTGTCTTCAGTCACATCCGCGTATATCAGACTATATTTAGTTGCAGGCCCAGGCCTCAATACGCAAGGTAATCGAGGCAGGGAGATAGTCCAGGCGAACATATCCAGTCTCCCAGCACGGATGCGATCCCGCGGGGACTCCACCACCGGCGGGCGCGCCAGGCACGCCAAAGCGTTCGTTGGGATGAAATTGAATGGCGATCACCTCGGCCGGACACTCTTGCACGATTTCTGGTGGCAAGAGTTTCTTCGTCACCTTCACCTTCAAGCCCAAGTGCAGCGGTAGAAACGACATGAGGTTGCCAGTTTTACTTGCCATGTTGGTCAAGCCCAGAATCTCGCGCAGAATGGATTTATCGTTGGTGAACTCACTTTGATGCACCAAATCCACTGCTTGAACGTAGTAGAGCAGACGACCTTTGTCATGTAGCAACGACGTCAAGAAGGATTCCTGCTTGGCGAAGACCGCTCCGAAGCGAGACCATGAAAGGACCTCGAAAGATACGTCGGAAAGTGTCGACGAATCAGCTGGGGACGTCCAGTCTGGGTGTTGCGGAAAGCTGCAACACCAAAGCTCGCGCGAGCAGACTCGTATGCGCACAACTGCTGGAGACGAGCCACCTGGTCCCAGTTCACTGCGCTGAAGACACCGCGCGCGAAGAAACCTGGAGGCCCGGTGGGCGCAGTGGAGCCTGAAGCCATGGTGTAATCGCTGCTCAGACGAGGATCGCCTCCCAGCGGGCGATACACCCGCTTGCGAATGGCCTCCTTCAGAGCCGTAGACAAGGGACGACCCCCGACCACTCGCATCGTCTCCAAGAGCTCGGCCAACGGATCTCCTTTCCGAAAGCGGTGAGAGCCTCTGAACAAGATGACCTGTTTCAGAAAGGCGCGAAAGACTGCAAGTCCATGTTCATCGATGTCGACTTTCTTCCTGCGCTGTTGGTCGTCCATCTTCTCGTATCGCGGCGCCCCCGGCACTTCAATGCCGAAGGCTTCCATGAGGGATCTGGCTCGCACGGGGTTCAACTGCAAGAAGTCACCAGCCAAAATCTGACACAAGACATTGCCGAAAATGTTGCTCAGAAAATCCTCCGGAGAAAGGTCGAAACGACCATAGCAGGCCGATCCGTGTAGCACTGCCAACAAATTCGGTGCAGTCAAGCTAATCTCATCAACAAACACCAGCGAAAGCCGCCACCACTTACGCTGCAAAGCCTCCTTCTTGGTCTTAGAGGGCTTTTGCAGCAACAGCTCTTGCGCCCGTGTGAGACCAGCCATATGGTGGAACGTGCTTCCTCCTATGAGTCGAGCGGCAGAGTTTTGGGCAGCGACCCCTCGGGTGGTCCCAGGTAGAAACTCGTTGTAGACCGGGAGGATGACTTCTTTCAGCATGAAAGTTTTGCCGCTCCCTCCAGGTCCATGTACAAAAATACGCGCCACCATGTCCTACGTGGGCTCACGAGCAAAAGGAACACGCAACAACCTAATCCAAAATCTATATTTCGCCAACGGGGTGTGATCATTGCGCAAATGAAGTCGTACATTCTCTATGTAAAATACAAAAATCATGTATCCTTGCTACAAGCTATGTTTAAGTCATTAATTAGACATTTAGTTCCGCCGATGGAAGCGCGTGGGCACGCGAAATTTTGGACTCCATAATCCTTCTCAACCAAAGCCAACAACGGGTCAAGTCGAGTGCGATCTCCGAAGCAGTGAGCCAGTCCAGCTTCGTTGGCTTTGTTCCACAGGCGCTGCAAGGGCGCGATGGCGAGGATCACAGCATTGTACTGATCTGGAGAGATTGCATACTCTGCTCCGTCTTGGTGAGTGGACTGAAGCACAGGTAGCTTCTGCTGCACCAGCTGCAAAGCTTTCTCAGCCGGAGACAAAGTCAACACCGCTGCCACAGGGGCCAAGCCGGCCTCAACGTCTCGTGTAGAGATGTCAACGCATTCATCGTCTGTGTCATGTGCTTGACCCAGTTCCGCATCCTTGCGAGACTCCTGGAGTGCTTTTTGCTGTTGCAGGCCACTCAACACTTCTTGGGTGGTAGACGTCTTCGAATCGATTTCACGCCCGCGCAGACAAGAGCGTGGCTGCTGCAGTTCCTCATATTTCGTAGCATATTGCTTCACGAACTCAGCCGAACGCTTGGTGCTGGAACTGGTTCTGCCTGGACCGCTGGTTTTCACATTCAATCTGTGCGCCAAGCCCAAGACATCTTTTTGATCCACGCGCAGGCGAGGTTGGTACTGGACTTCAGGTTTGATCGGGCAATCGTCCACATCGAGATCGGATCGGTCTTCCACCTCGCCCACGTCCACAAACTCAGCCCTCGCTCCCAAGTCGTCATCTTCGTCAGGAGCGACTTTGTGCTCTTGCGTCGGTCGGGGTCTCCGACGAGCTTCTGACATCAAATCCAAATTAGCACTCACCTCTCGACTGACGACAGCCACATACTCTCCCGCGCTCAGCTGCTGCGGATGCCACCCGTAGGAGGCGCAGTGCACGGAAGAATGTAGACCAAGAATTTCGATGCAAGCTTTGATGCGCCCTGCAGAGTTTCCAATCACCGTGAGGACGTTGTCTTCGTCCATGACTGCACCGACAAAGTCGAAGATCACACCCAAAACTCGCTCGCTGAGACGAGGTAGTTCATATCCGACGCGCTTGGGGGCAGTCTGTTTCCCTCGACGACGGCGCAACTGCGTTGTCGTGGCCAGAGGTCGTTTCCGC